TATGCAGGAAGGCTGAGTGGAGGAGGGGGCCAGCAGGGACCCTTCCAAGGAGGGGGCCGATGGACAGTCTGTTTTACTTCTGCGACCAGACACTGCCTCTCCTCTGGAGGGCCACACAGCCGCCTGACCAAAAATCAGCACCCACGCCTTGTCCACAGGGGCAGCTCAGGAATCTCACCCTTGCGATGGTGGGCGGCTGCCCCTGGGGGCCCAACAAGGCCCTCACATGACGGCCCTTCCGCGCCAAGGGCAGGACTGCTGCGGCCTCGATGCACAAAGGCCCCAGGCACGTTGGAATGGGTGGCCAGGGCAAGGGGGTGGCTCCTGGGGCCCTCAGAGGAGCCTGGGGAAGTGGCTCTCCCACCACTGAGTCCCACTGGACAAAGGCGGAGAGAGCGCACGTGGCCTTCCTCGAAACTCTCTGTGCACGTATGTTGATTTGTCTGCGTCTGTGACTCTGTCTCCTGTGATGCTCCATCTTCCTCATGAACGAAACTTTCCCCCTGAGTACGGAGGTTCCTTACGGGGAGAAAGAAATGCCACCACAGTCTGTGACACCTCATTGCCCAGCTGTCATTCATAACAAAAAAAGCTATCAACGTGCCGTTCACAAGGGGCTTTTAAACCAAATGTCAGCAGAATCCAGAGAACTCTGAAATTTATGTGAGCTATACAAACCTGTACGTTTTCATGGGGCAAAGCTTTCATCAGACTCTCAAAAGGGGTTTGAGACCTTACGTAAGCTTTAGTACCAATGTCCAGTTTACTCAGAAGAATCCTGCCCAGGCTAAAAATAATACGGCTTAAAAAAACCAGGGTCCTTTCAGTCCCCATTCTGCCTTGTTCTCAACCACCTTGAGGCCACCTTGTCAAAAATCCTGTTTACCACCATTCCTATTTGAGAGATGAGCAAACTAAAATCCTATGAAATTATGAAGTTAATATCCTACCTAAGTAAAGACTATCGATGCGTGGGTTAGAATCAAAGATACGAAGATGAATGTACCGCTCTTGGCGACGATGGCCTCCCGCCCATAACGCAGCACGAACATCACGTCACGCGTGAACACCACGGGCCGAGCTCTGTGTCGGGCACTTTGCATGCATGACTTATGTAGACATCAAAACAACTCTGCAAGACACGATCTCATTTTTTGCCTTGAGGACACCGAGACTCTGAAAAGGTCGATGGCTTGCCAAAGACGCCGGCCCTGTGTCAGAGAGGGGACCGGACTCCAGGCCTGCCTGACTCCCACGCTCCGCGCTGGGGGACACCCTCTGAAACTCGGATCCCCTGAGGAGGACAACTTGTCTAAGGCAGGGGCGGCTCTTAGACCCCTCTGTGCTCCCCGCGGGGCTTTGCCGTGCTCTGCGTGGCCGCGCTCCCCAGAAGTATTTGTTGGATGAGGAAACCCGGACTCGGGCTCCAGCCCTGCCGCGGACCGACTCCGTCCCCTGCCACTGGGAGCTGCAGGTGGTTGCCCAGCTGGGCCACTTCAGGGAACATGTGAAATCAATGACGGCTGAGGAGGAACCTACCACAAGGTTTTCTTCTGCGTATGTTGGGGTCGAAAGGGAGGAACGGAAGCTGAGAAGGAGGGAAGGGAACAGGATGGTCTCCGGGCTGGGTGCTGGAGCGTGGTTTCCACACCAGGATGGGACAGGATTTGGCTCACACCCACTGCTGAGTTCCAACGGGCTCCTGACCTCGGGCCACTGCCAGGTAGCACGTATCCCGGAATGGCCAGGTCCCCAGGGAGCTGCCCCACTGGAGTGGCTGCACCGGGCCCCTTCCCAGACTTTGCTGCCGGCTTCTGAGCTGCAGAAGGGAGGAGCTTCATGAGGCCGCATTTTCAGGGGGCCCAGCACCATTCACTCCCCCGCTGGGGGCCAGAGGCAACGGGGCCTGCGCCCTCCTCGGCCCTAAATAAAAGTATCCCCCAGTGAGCCAGTCTGGAGTCCGACTTCCTACTTGGGAAGAATGTGGGCATCTGGGGAGAGGGGACGGAGGTCACCCCCGTTGGCTTTGTTTTCTTTACTAGTCGCTACAAGTGCAAGTGGGTCACCACCCCCAAAATGCCACTTTAGCCCCTTCGCATAGGCCCTGCAAAAAGACTTGGATGAGCTGGCTCTAAGAGACACCAACCAGCCACACTCCTGGAGAGGATGAGACGTACAGACGGAAGGCCAAGGTGGGACAGCCCGCGAGGAAGCCGGAGGTTCCCCCAGGACGCGGCTTCTAAAGGCGCCCTACGCCCCTGTGTGCGAAACAACACTGCCACCTAGTGCCCGGCGCGGGAAGTGTTCCCCACGGCCCGCATCTGCGGGGGCCCTTCCAGTGGCTGGGGCGACCGAACCGCTTGATGTCTCTGCTAAAGAGAAAACGCCCCGAGATGAGCAGGGCAAGAATCAAGAAACCGGGTCTAAGGTAAGCAGGTGGAAGCTGGGGTGTCAGAGCCGCTGGGGGAGAGAACGGGAGCCGAGCCTTGCAGCACCTGGACCGTCCTCAATGGAGCAGCAGAGCGTCAGCGTTTGAACCGTCCTGACCTCCTGGGAACATGATCCGGTCACTGCCACTCTGCACAGGTGGAGACCGACCCCCCACCCCCACCACCGCCCACCCCGGCGCAGGTGGTGACCAGCTAAGGGCCCAGTGCTGGGCCAGGAGACAGAGATGGGCCGCCCAGCTGACAGCAGTGAGTTCGTGCGCGTCAGAGACCTGTATTCCTTAGGGGACGACCTTCGACCGCCTCACAGTTTTCAGCCACGGCCCCGGAAAAGCGTAAAGAGCGAAGCGCGCAGTGAGACCAGCGTGCCTGTGCCCTCGGGAGTCCGGTTTCTAGAAGCCCGAAGAATGAAGGCCTGCTCCCAGCCCCCGTCTTCGCCGGACTCTGTCCTGAACGTTTTCGGATGTGCGCGAGGCCGCGGGCAGATGTAGGGTGGGGAGCAGGGAGGCGGCGGACCTGGGTATCCCCGCCCCTTGCCCCTGCCGCTGAGGACTCGCGGGGAAATGCCAGGATACCACAGGGGCCCCTTGGATTCGAAGAGAAAGAAACCTCAGAAGCTAGACTGTCTGCAGAAGATTTCTTGCCTAATTTTACATGCTTCGGGAGGTTAAAAGAGTTCAGATGGGCACTTTGGAGAAGGATCTGAGTGTGTGGCCTGTGGCGAGGTGGGGGGCGGCTGGTGGTGATGGACAGGTGGGCAAAGGAAGGAGAGCTGGGGGGAGGTGTGACAAGGAATCAAGTCGCGACGATGCTTTCCTCTGTGCAGATGACACAGACGGGCATGGAGGAGACAGGACAGGGGTCAGGTACCCCCCTCCCGAGTCTGCCGCCTCAGGCTGGGGTTTGAACCATCCCGAGCAACAGTCTCTAAGAGCCTGCTTCATATATATGTTGGATCCTTCTCTAATTCTGCACAGCCAGGGAACTGGTCCCAGGTCCCCATGTCGCTACTGAGGGAGGAGGGGTAAGCGAAGTCGTGGGCCTCGGTCTAGACTGCAGGCACACAGCTTCCCTGGCAGATGGGCACTCGGAAGCGAGAGCAGGCAGCAAGAAGATGTCATCTGGGAAAAACGGCGACGCTGCCAACTCCGATCAGATAATCATCTTATTATTTCTTCCATTTGGCCCCAGAATAAGGATTTCCTTCTCCTCTCTCTCTCCCCACACCTACCTTCCAGCCCAGCCCCTTCTCCTTCCCCTCCCCTCACGCCCTCTCCCACCCCAAAATAAAATCAAGCAAAACCACAAAACTCTAGAGTGCTCAGTGTCTGGGAATCCCAGCTTCCAAGGGAGAAATCACAGCCAAGATGGGGGAGACAGTGTGTCCGGAGGGACGTTCCAGCAACACCCCAGTGAGGGGGCTCCCTCCTCCCAGCTTGCTTGCTCTAGTCTGAGACTAACGTGCGGGCACCCAGCAGCCTGAGGAGTTTTTAAGCTGGGGAGCTGTCAAGCATCTCGGGGCTGTGCAGCTGCACCCCCAGTCTGCCTCTCGTTGCTTCGGTCTCCCCATCAAAGTAACGGGACTGGAAACACTGATGGGTGTTGTGACCGATCCAAATTAATAAGATTAAAACGGTTCTACGTGTGCCTAGCCTCGTGTGAGATTCCGCCACGGGGGACCCAGAGGGATAACGAGACACAAGGAAGAATCACCTCTCACCCCCACCCCCTGCCTGAAACTAGTCCCCCCTCAGTAAGGCAAGGGAGACAGTGATTCCTAACCCCACCCTCTTCCTCGTCCTTCTGGGTGACGTTCTGTGAAAACCAAGATCTGGGTATAGTGAAAAATACATGTGGGTGATGTTCCCAGACGCTGCCTCTGATGAAAACCAGAGAGTTACACAAGGTGCGTTTTTAGGTCCCTCTTACAAAAGCCGGGGCTGGAAACCAGGGTTGCGCGGCGTGCAAGTGCTCGCCGTTTCCAGATGACCCTGCTGTTTCTAGGTTCGCACGTGATTCTTGGGGGACCCCAGGACCTGGGCCAGGGAGCCGATTTCTGCTAAGTTCCAGGGCTACTCGAAGGACAGGGGACCAGTCAGGACCCAACGGCGGTGCACCTGGCAGTCCTGTCTTCTGGCCGCCAGGCGTGACTCACTGCCAGGTCCTTGCTTTCTCACAGCTTCCAAGGGGGGGCCTGGGTCTCTCATACCGGACCATGAGAACTGAGGTACGACACCTCTTCCCCAGGGACAAAGAAGCAGAGGTCTCCCCCT